CTGTGTTGTCAACGCCTCAATTGAGCGTGCCTCTCTATTGTGTGACCCAAAAAGATTTAGTGCTCGTCTATGAAAGAGGTGGTCTCTCAGAAGCAAAACTTCATAGTTCATCTTAGATACTTCCTTTTCATAAAATTGTTGAAATTTCAGATCCTTGTAAAAAAGTATATTCGCTTGCCAGGAGATGTACTTAACTCTAAGACAAACCTGCAAACTTTATCTGTATCATCATCATACTTCTTCGTGATGAATATCCACACCCTTTTACACGATATAATTTTTTTTCTTTTTTTGGAGGGGAGGAGGGGTTCTTTTCAGTGTTTTTTTATTTCTTCTTTTTAGAGCTTTCCACAATGTTGACGCATTACATTTGTATTGTGGATGAAATATTGTCACTGATTGATCTAAGTGGACAGTTCGGATCTGTAACGCAATTCTCCTTAGAAATAAACCGTCAGTTTCGTCCAGTGACAAGTGCTCATATTGATCACATAACCCGTGCACGGCTGTTGTAGTAGAACGGAAGACTAACTCCGATGCCTTAGAGCTCCTTTTAATTTCAGCCATAAGTTATTCAGAAATTAGGAACCTTAAGTCAAACGAAACTTCAACTCATTTTTACCATCAATTGTAATAGCATTACTTTTCAAAAATTGTTTATGCCAAAACCAAAACCAGGCAGGTAATCACCAGTTTCATGTATCATTCTTGATGTCCAAAAAAGTCTTTGCTGGTGGATTGCGATCGGAGAAGTCACGATAAAAAATATAGACAGACTTCGATTTCATTTTTATATTTATTTTTTTTTTTGTCGTCGTGATAATAATTATGGCGGGAGGCAAAGTCCGTTTCCATGAATCTCGGTTCTCTAATTTAAGAATTTGTAATTCAATGTTATTAAACAAATTTGGAGTAACGGTCTTCTTAATTACAGTTTCTGCTGTAAAGGTACCTGGTTAACTCTTGATGTAGCTCTCATTTATTGTTGTTTCTGATATTTCTAGTGGGAGGAGTAGTTGTTTTCAGGCAAGACTGTTATCACTCTCCGTATTTAAATACGAATATGCCTGGAGGGTGCGTTAAAATTATTCGTTTTCCCTATGTTATTTCACTTCGTGGCTTTTACTTTGTCATCACCAATAATTTTTATAGCCGCTAGCGTAAAGGTAACCACCAGTTCGTGAACATGAATATAGGGGGCTTTCAGAGCACAGTAGTTTGAAGGAAAGTGAGGGGGTTTATCATTTTCGTGCAAGCTGTTAGCAAATTTAAAATTCAATGTACTTTTTTCGTCTTCGTTATGACAATGGATAAGGTTGGTAAGTAGGTTGGAGGAAATTTGTCTGAAAGTTTAAAGTGTGTTGCTGATAGTTGTCGTGTGGTTATCACATCTTAATGACAGCATGTTTCGTCTCTTGATCCGTTTTGATAAAAGGGCAGAGTTAATGAGAAAGATAACTTTTTCACATTAAAACTTGAAAGGCTTTCTTGTTAAGTAGTGTGCTCTCTGAAAAACGTTATCGACGCCGGATATCTCGCTCCGTTATAGACCACCCTATGAGTAAAATAAGTCTTTAACAAACACCCTTTGTTTGAGAACCTCCGACAGTATCATTGTAACGGTATCTGAAAGCAAACCTGATAGACACAATGGTTTAACAGTAAAGCTTAAAACACACAGGCACGCACGCACGCACGCACGGAATTGAGAGGCACGGTTAGAGAGCAGTGAACGGTAATAAATGCAAGAGAAATTCAGTCTCCCATCAACTGACAGTTAATTTTTAATTTTTCTTAGTAGAACAAATATTGCGATAAAGGCACCAAACGGTTTGAATACAAAGAACGATTCTCGTCCTTAACCCATCGGAAATTTCAATCAAGTCTTAAACAATAGCAAAGAATATCGTTTTAAAATCATATTACCAACAGCCTTTCGCTTGCAACGGAAATCTCATCGATGATTATTTATATTTTTAAACTACTCTGTGTTGTCAAACTCCAGTAGAACAGATGTAAGTTAGGTGTTAACATCACTCCACAGTGAAGTAGAGAAAATTGAACTGTAGTCGCCGTTTGCAACCCAAAAGATGCGTTAGTTTTTTTTAGCGTAAAACCGCATTCCCTTCCAACGGAAGTAGCGGTAAGTTATTCAAGTGGTCAAAATTTAAAGTTTTGGTTTGAGTCAATAGAGAATTTTTACAAAAATAGCCTCTGACAATCTCCTTTATCAAAGAGCTTCCTTTAGATACCTGCTGGTAGTTTCAAAGGGCGGATTTTTTCCTCCCTCAAAAAATTTCCTCTCCTTTTCAAGTTTGACGTGTGGCAACTAGTTTGTACTCTAAGGAAACAATCGGTGAGTCTTGGTTGTCTGGGTAACGCACAGCCCTTTAAGAAAAAACAGAAGCGTAGATTACAAAAAATAGGAAAAGACTGTTAAAAAAATTGAACAACAGCGAGGAAAGACACGCTTGGTACCTCTAACAGTCGCACGACTAACGCTAATATTACATATTTAATTAATTGTTTTCTCATTTCTTAGTTTTTTTTTGTKTGTGTGTGTGTGTGTGTGTGTATGTGTGAATTGAGACTGATCAGTTACATGTCTGTGTATCTCGTGTCTTCAAATATTAAAATTCGATTTGTATAATTGAATTCGTCAGTTGAAAGCCCTTTTTACAGCCGGTGTTCATTTTCCAAATAACATCGTTCAATTGGCTTGTTTTTGTGTCATTACAACACTGAACCGTCCACATTGTAACAGGTGCGCCATTCTGATATTCTTGTTCTAAGTTCCTTTGTTAAGTCTTAAAATCCCTCATACCTGCCTAAAGTACGGGTGTTTTTTTTTTTGTTTTTTTTTTTCCCGATACCAAGCAAAAAAAACAGAAAACGCTCAACTATTTAACTTTGCAATCCACGTTCAGGTTAGATTTGAATCACATTGCTTGTTAGTTAATTGTCATTTACTCTCTGTCTTTTGATAAAACTCTCTGGGCCGTCATTAGGATTTTTTTCAGGTAATCTTGTTTTTTTTTTTCTTCTTATCTTTCTGCTCTCTAAAGGAGACTATGGTTATTTACGCTAATTGACAAAATTTCTCCAACGTTCGTTTTAACCTTTTTCAGTCGCTTTGAGAACGGAAACCAGCAGTGAACAAGGTCTGTTCGGTTCTTGAGCTACCTCAAATAATTTAACTTCTTTGACAGACACTTTGCAAGGGCTCAATCTGACATTTGTCGCAACTTTTTTTTCGATTCAGAGACTCGACTTCAAGTTCCACAATGATAGACTACCGAAATCAGCTTATTAAATCTGTAAATTTTCACTCCAAAATAATCACTAATTTTGCTAAGATTTCGAGCTTCCTATGACAACCAGTTTAGTGCTCAAAAATCACAAAAGCTCTTCTAGAAATCTTCTGTTCATTGGGCGGCGGAAGCAATCCGTTTCCTTTCTTAGGTTGCCTAATATATGGTTATTGCTTAATGTTCGCTCAACCGCATACCAAAACATATCTGTTTGTTACATACCAACGCATACTGGGGTGATAGGTGTAAGAATTTTTTTCAAAATCCTTTGTGTGTTTCTCCCTGCTTAAACCCACGCATAATGAGGTCAATATTTTGTGAACTGATCCCACAAGACATTCGTGACAAGTCGTATTTATTTGCGAGTTTGACCGGAAGCAGACCTGCATGCGTGATGTGACTAAAAGCTTTATTCAATATCCGGTGCGGTAGTCAATTCCGCTCGCAAATAAATTGTTTACCAAATTAAATATTCCAGCTTAGGGTTCATTGTTTTCACAAGAACTAAGGATGAAATGGAAAATATAAAAACACACTCTTGAGGTGTTAGACAATTTTAGATCACTGGGTCTTGTTTTGTTTTGATTAACAGTATGTGAAAGAAATACCTGTTTTCATGTTTTGGCGACTGATACTAAATCCTTTCACGCAGTATTGAAGCTCACTTGGAGGGTTCAAAGGAATTTTGCGGGCAGTTGATTCTGGTAAATACTGGAAGCCACAACAATAGGAGCTCATGGATTTAAAGCCATTTAACGGTTTCTTTCCAACACTGTATTACTTTGTCTCCAATTAGTCAGTACACAAAGAACTACTCAAAGATTCCTTTAGTATTTACTGCGATCTAATTTTGTTCTTCTTAAAAGATATTAATGACAATGTTATCGCATCAGTGCAATATAGCTACCGGATCACCCGCTTGTAAAGTTTTGAATGCAAATTGAAGCAGTTCCTGAACAGAGCAATTTGAAATAAAGAAATTAAAAATAGATATTAATGTAGAAATGTAATGATAACAATCATGAAAGCAATTAACAATGAAGGCCTGTATCATCATCGACTTGAGTTCAGGAAACCTTGTCATGAAACGGAGACGTTTCAAATTTAAAGGATAATTATAAAAGACCTTGATCACGTTTCGGTGTTTTTTGAAATGAGCACCATCGCAAATTGCACTTGGCCTTTTAACTATTGCGTTGGGTTTTTCTTTATGTTAGGTAACGGTGGCAACCTTTAACTGTGTTGAAGTGTATTTTGAGACGCTTTGGTTTCTCAAGAGGTTATTATAAAAGGAGCAGCTGCTGGGATTTAAACTAACGGTAAATAACATAAGTAGGCAGTGATGTATTGCTGAGAAATCCGGCCGGCTGCACAGCGTCCAAACCATCTGCTCGTAACAATGTAAACAGCTGCAAGGATTTCCGATTTTGCTCAACTTCGGCAGGTGGTTCAACGAAATGAATCCTCGATGAATACTTCCACCAAAAATCGGTTCTACTCAGATTCCTAGAAGCGCCATTTTCGTGCAAGAATATTACCAGCTTTCTATTCTAGATTGCGTTACTTGTTTTGGAACACAAGGTAATCACTGAGAGTTCCCTTAGGATCATAATTGTTAACATTATAGTAATAATAGTAGTTATTATTATTATTATTATTATTATTATTATTATTATTATTTTCTACTGATATCAAAACCTCACCACAAAACTTTAAATGACGCCTAACAATACAAAACATTAAGTAATGGATATTGAATGGTCATTTTGCCCATACAAGCTAGTTACCCACAGTCTTTGGAACGATACTGACCAGACAACCTAAAAAGATCTTACTCAATCCATTTTGTCGTATTTGATTACATCTAGCTGTGGTCGAGGAAGTTAATATTTTGTCTTTTGAAAACCGAACCAACTTCAACAAGATACTAATCTAAACTGAAATTAGCTCGAGGCTCTGGCCAAATGCAACCATTAAATTTACTCGTCAAATTCCACTACTGTCAAACTACATCATTTTGGTCCCGTGTAGAGAGTTATTGTCTTCGAAACGTCTTCCTAAATGAAGATTGTTTTAAGAATCTCTGACAGCACAAAGGAAACTTCACGCAATTTTACCAATTTCTAAGACGACCAGATGTTCGATCGCACAGGTGTGGCTGACAATGGAACACTAGTTGCTTGTCAAAGCTTAGATTAAATCTCCATTGTTTCATGTCATGTCTTTTGTGTATGGGACAGCACCGAAAACGTGGTGTTACCAAGGGTCTTATTGAGGCGTACATCCCACAATTCCGCGCTTTTGTCAGCCTCATCACAGCTGGGCTTCTGCAAACAACGGCCTTTGCTAAAACAACACTGTGTTATGAATATTAATCTTGCTGAGTTGAACTATTCCGTTTGTTATGAAAGCAAGCCATTGCCACCTCTTGATACCGATACTGCAGTTAATTATCCCTTACATGCTAGTCTCATTCAGCTTCTGTGTGGGGAGGGAAAAAAAAAGGTCTCTCTGTACCGTTCCCGCGTACAGTTTAATTTATTCAAGCCGGAATATCCTCATTCGCTAGCGCGTGGGCCCTTCTTAGCGTAGGAGGGATATTTTAGTACCCAAGCCGTCGCATTAATTGGCTTTGAATGAATGGACTTGAATTAGCGTGAACCTCAAAATTTTTCGCATTCGGTCGCCGAACGTACTTTCGAGCGTTTCGGAGTGTTAGTGACTGGTGTGCCTCACCAGACTTCGTCACATAGAACTGAAGGTGTCTGTGGTTATTCTTAGAAAGGTAAGAGACCGATATTGTTCGGTGTCATTCGGACCGATGATTTTGATTGAGAATATAGTTTTTACTACACACATGATCACGCGAACGCGTAAAGTATGACTTAACACTAATTCTAACTTGTCTCCGCTTGCAGTGCGTAGAGGAAAATGGCCATGTCTGTGAGTAGTCTTCTCCTGGAGAGCTTCAGTACCGACTTCGATCCTCTTCAACCATCGCTTTTCAAAGATTTTGGCGATGATCCAGAAGATTTGAAATCCAAGAGTAAAGAAGCAACCGATGACTTATGGAAGAATTTTTCATTTCCGCCGACGCCACCGATCTCTCCGGCTTGCTCGCCCCCGCACGCGGCGACCGAAGAGGCAAGAGAGCAGCCAGTTTGCTACGGCGTAGCAGATGAGGTATTTTCCCTGGACGAAGAATGCTCGCTGTATTTCCAAGCCGGTGACCTGAAGGATATATTGATTAAAGATTGCATGTGGAACGGCGCTGCTTTCGATAAAAACGCGGACAGGAAGCAGCATCGATTGAATTCAAAAACGGACCGTGTTCGTTTGCTGTGCCAGACACCGCCACTAAGCGAATCTGCGGCAAGGATTTTGAGCGTGGATCCATCAGAAATCTTTCCCTTTCCACTGAGTGCAAGCCCTGGAAGCGAGCTACGAGAAAACATCGATGAGCAATCGGATTCCGGTAAATACAACCACTGATTGGATAAATAATAGATGCTGAGTCGCTTTGGCTGATTAAGTCTCTCTTCTCCGTGTTCGCCGGTCTATGACCGTCACTGTCACTGACCCATTCTCCTATTCATTACCACAATTTTTTTGCGTGTGCCCCCACGTTCCAGGGTCGCCACTGTTCCTATACACTTCTTGTAAATGTTTTTCTTATGTTCCCAAAAATACTGCTAAATTATTTTCTAACATTCATGTTTGTTTTTGCAAACTCTACAGAAGAAGAGGAAGTCGAAATTGATGTGGTTACTATAGAAAATTCAAGCAAACGAGAGCAGGAACCCGACGAAGTTATTGAAACCGAAAGTATGAAAATTTGTACAAGAATCGACGACCCGGCCCCAAATGAAAGCTGTTCAGAAGTATCGAGTTCAGAACTGCGGACGGAAGACCCAGAAGGAGACGAGAAAACTGAATATGTGGGCAAGATAAGAACACGTCGGCATAGAAAAGTGTTATCCAGCGACGGATTGAATTACCGTGAAGGAAAGAAACTTGTTAAGAATATCAGTAGCTCTGGAGAAAGCGACGAGTCGGAGAACGACAGTGAATTCACACGAGCGACGCATAACGTTTTGGAGCGAAAGAGAAGGAACGATTTGAAAATGAAGTTTCAAAAATTACGAGACTGCGTTCCGGAATTGAAGGACAATGACCGCGCACCTAAAGTCTCCATTTTGCGGAAGTCTTGGGAGTATATAAGTCACATCAAACAAGAAGAAAGTAAACTCCTAACCGAGATGGAAAAACAAAAGAAAATTAACGCTGTGCTTTTGAAAAAGCTACTGGCTTTGAATCAAGCGAACTAGAGACTTTACAATAGCGGGACGTAATGTTTTCATGCCATTTTATCGACTTCTTACCGAGACTTTTTTTAAGAACCCGACTTGTGGTGACGATTTTTTTTTGAAAATGTTCATTTGATTTTCCTATTCCTACTGGCGCTTGAGTCGTCGAAGCGTAAATTATGATGAATGACCCAATTTCGCTGTGCAATATTAGTGAGGCGGTATTTTATTTCAGAGAGAATTTCAGAGGACACACTTTAGCAAAGCTGTAGTGTTCGAACTCAAACGTGTAGAACTCAGTTCGAGTTAATCTTGAAGATAGAAAAACTGATTGTAAATAGGGTTATAATTGTGCTGTTTCACTGCGAACAGCTTTGAAACCGGCTTTGTGCACGCTTTGACAAAAGCAATAGAATTTCACGAAAAATTTCGACCAGTCTGACGTAGATCTAGAAGACACGATTTGAGATAGAAAAAAACTTTTCAAATCCAAAATAAAAATAAAGTCTTAACTATACACCGTTTATTGAATGTTACGCTAAACATCGGCGTAAAACGATGGCGTTTTTGTCGAGGAAACGTCGAAACAGCGTGTTCTTTGTTTGGCTGAAACTACTATGCCATTCAAAACGGAGTGACACTCCTCGAATGAATGAGCGCCGCATTTGCATGTTTGACTTTACTGAGACGTAGACTAAACTGCATAAATTAAAGATCCATTAGCCTATTACCTGTCTTGTGTCGCAATGAATTAAACTTGTTGGGAAATACAAAATAATCTCATCCAAAAGATTGGGCGAACCGCAGCGTCTGTTTACATCTTAACTTATTTGGCGGGGTGACTTCTTAAAAAAGCATGCACGTACAATTTCTGTAGTCATTCATCGGAAAAATAAACTACCCTTCAATGGATCGACTATGTATGTGTATTTTAACATGTTACAAATCGCTCCGTTTACATTTTCGACACGACTTTCACAAAGGTGTTGCGAAAAGTTCGGGGATCATTTTTTCTTGCGTAAATGGAACAAAAGCTTTACGTTTTCAAAGATTTTCTCGCGAAGATGAACAAGTCGCAAATTGAAAACAAAAAACGCACTAATTTATTGATTGAAAAGAAAGAGTAAATTCAGAGTAGAACTCATTTTCAAAAGTTAGCTTTAACAACTAATTTATTTCATTAAAGTAATGTCTCTTTCAGACGTGAAAAACGTAAATATTAATATTACGACTTGAACGTCGTTGAGAAATTTTGATTCATTAAATTCGGCTGGTAACACCAAAAAAAGAGTTAAACAGCCTATTAAATTTTTTTCTTCACAATTTCACACTTTTAAAAGCAATTTGATTTCACTTGACTAAATTGAGCAATTTCGTAATGGATTGTACAAGCTTGAAAGAAATCAAAACTTTGAAATTGTTCCTTCATGTTCTTTTCTATTTTGGTTTCTCTAATCATTTGTCGAGATCAAATTTAGCGTCCGATTAAACGATCTACTTGTATTAATTATGCTCAGGTGAATAATTGCAGTTGGAACGTTTGTAACACAAAAATTTTCTGAAGTAGAGTCAGATTTATCGTTACTTCGCTGTAAGTCAAAATTGCAAAGTTTCTAAGAGAGTGAGGGCTCGCGCGCCTTATCATATCTCAGTTCGTTTCCGGCCATATTGGAAAAGTGTTTACTTTGAGAGCAAGTAAAGAGCTTCAGGGAATTGTAATGCAAATTTATTGAAAATGTTTGAATCTGGGCAGGTGTTCGGTTGAATGGGGCAAAAATAGACCCTTTGTTTACGGCAGCTGCCTTTGGCTGAATTTCACCGCTTATTACGCAAATTACAGCTTACGGCTAGAAGATTATCTAGGTTCATTAGTTGAGGTTCTATCGCGACTTTTTAGCCTGTGAGTTTTGTAGTAAAGTCTTTGGTTTTGTAAATTTAGGTGATTTTTTGTCAAATTAGGTGATTTTAATTCCATTTGTCGAGCTCGCGAGTGCGATAAATAATGCTCACGAAAGATACATTGATATATGGTGCAATTAAACATATCTCAACAAAGACAATTTATTTTCTCCCTTCCCCTGGATTGAAACTTGCAAGCTGTCAAGGAACGCTGTTTTATTTTCTAAAGTTCTTAGACTGACTGATTTTAAGAAAAAAAATCACTTTTAAACTGAATGCCACAAATTGCGCGGGAAACGTAATCGACTGTTCCCACTGCAGATGTCATTACTTTGGACATCTATACTTATGAAAATTATACACCACTTTATCAGAACAACTGTCATAGCACAGGTTGTGTTATGAGTACACTATAAACCAAATTCCTTTAGTTTGATTCGCTGAACTGTCTTTGTCGAAAAGGGAAAGATTCAATGCCGGTCTATCTTTATTTGTTGTTATTTTGTTTATCGAATCGAAACCGGCTCCGACAATCCTACAGGTTCAAATTGTAATTTTTCCGCCAGGATATCATTGAAAACTTTAATAATAATCACTGAGGGCTATTTGAACTTAGTTGAAAGACCACATCACTTTCGTCTATATTGAGACAACCTTCATATCCTTATTCAACGTTAAAAAAATTAAATATCGCTGCGTTAAAGCTAGCTGAACGTTATTGTGAATGAAAGTGCTAATATCTCAAGCGCGATAAGCTCTTCATAAAAAGCTTAAGAAAATTGTTCTGCTCCATTTAGCACGGGCCAGCTGCTCCTAAAGTACGAGTTTAATACCCCATTCAAGCTGTCACTAGCCATGAAGATAATTTGCTTCCCGCGAATAAACATTTGCTCCCGAACTATAGACTTTCGCAATAAAGAGCGCGCGCGCAATTTGCATTTGAATGGATTTCATTTACTTTGATTGACGGCGTCCTCCTCGCGCGTGCCAGCCGTGCGACGACAACCGCAAACAAAGGGTTTTCTAATTCGGCTTCAATCCTGAGTCCCTGGAGGCCGAGCTAGACATAGTCACTGGAGTAGTGACCTTTTTTGATTGTTGTGGTCGATTCTCCTACCACAGCGGTGTCAATGCTCTTTTTTCTTGGAGCCATTTTGCGCACAAATACTTCGGCTTGACCTTTGAAGCGAAGTGATGTTCATTGTTTCAATGCTAATGCTCTGGGAGATATGTTTTTCGTGTGCGCTGTTTGCGCAGGAATCTAAGCGTTATGCTTGTTAAAAAGCGATTTTAACTGAAACTTTTTCCTGCTTCATCATTCCATTCCTCGATCCCTGCTCCGAAACCGCTTTTTGGCGGGAAATATTAGCCCCCCAGTTTTGATATCTTTCAACTCGATATTCTATGATCATTGGTGGACTAATTAGTAAGGCACGCGCCGGTACGTTATTGACACACGAACAGCACTTAAGACCCCCCGAAAAATTACCAAATCTTCAAAATTAATAGAGTTACTGCAAATATTATGTCAACTGAACGATGATGCCACCGGAACATCATGATTGTTAAAGGGGTCGATGTTATCGCTTGAGTAAACAGTCTAGAAGGTTAAAGTCCAATAACAAGCATAAAACGCAAGAGCAATTGCCAGTTTATAAAATCTACCTCCGAAAAAAACCTTGCTTTCGTGTGCTACGTCCAACCAACAAAATTGCGCTGGATTTTACCTTTACAAAGTGCAATGTCCACGCTATATTCATTGACGCTGCTCTCTTTAGAAAATGGGTGCGCCGTGATGTAATTTTGTCAGATTCAATTGTTCTTGTAACCTCTTGTGTGGAGCCTATTCATATGCAAGCAGCTTTCACTGTTAACCTCTGCAGCCAAGCCGGTAAACTCAGAGAGTGGCTTGGTGATTAAGCCACTAATATATCTCAAGAGCTCGTTTAGAAGACGCGTGCGTCCTTTAAAGGTACTTATACTCCAGGCCATTATTTATCGGCTTTAGTCTTTACAGTAAACCAGTGTAAAGTTTAAACCTCCGCAAGAAGACCATCATTTTCAAGATGTTTGCAGCTACCAGCGCACTGTGAGTATCGGTATTTTTTTTTTCTACATAATTAACTAAGTAACTGCACTGTTTTCTTTGTATTCACGACCAAACATTCTAACACTTGCGATTATAACCTGCAATGTGCAAGGGAATTTCGCACGAAGTTTTGATTTCTTTTAGCAATTCAACTGGAATTTGTTTTTCTAAGGAATATTCGTACATCTGAAAAGCACAGTCGTCAACCAGTATGATTTTGCCTCATTTGCGTCTCTCAACTAAATCTCGAATACGAACGTAAAATGGTTTAAATTAGTCCCCTCTTTGTTGAAAATGCAAACATTTTTTTGTATGGTCTCTAAAAAGGATCTTGGCAACTTTTAACCGTCAAATACTTATCTCTTGTTGAACCCTGGGTAATATCTTTGGGTCCTTAACGTCTTTTGGAAGTGTCAAGATAACCTATAATTTTTTGTTTTTCTCCCGCTGTTTTCTATTTGTCAAAACGTTACTGCCTAATCGAAGATATTATGACATTCCTTTAGATGTAACTATGCCCTTGTCGCCCCAGCGAGCGTTAATCAATATTTGGGTTGTTTTGGCGAGGCGCACAACTCTACATCTCCTGAATTCATTTGCTGCGCCTTTCAAAGGGGCAATGTTTTTGGAAAATTCATTTTGAAAAAGATGCTGGTTTTTCATGGTGCCGCACATAATTATTTCTTCGCCTAACAAAAGATTGAGCAGGTCGATAGACACTGCTACGGGTCGCTCGCTTATGGAAAACTCTAAGAAAACATGAATATTCAATTTTGCGTAACTCATCCGAGGCCTTTATTTCAGTCGGGGTGACTCGAAAACCTGTAAGCTACAAGTCTTGTTTGTCAAACCAAGGAGCAGAATTCACAGATCACTGCACAGGAGAAAACTATACCAATTTTGAAAGAGAGCCAACAAGGAAAATCTAACCTACACGCGTGATCCCCACGCTTGTATCTCCTGCATTACGTGGGCCGGATTTTTGATGACTTTATGCAAATTTGCCTTTTGTGATGTGATCAGTCCATTCATTGATTCATTCATTCATTTGAAGCTTAACGTGAAAAGCGGCTGGTCTGTTTGAAAGCAGAAATTTTTTCTCCCTTCACTTATCTCAAGGCGCTCGCTCAATCGCTAGGTGCGTGGTGTTTAAGTAAACAGGCAAGCGTGCACATTTCAAATCGTAAAAAAGAAAATGTGTACTTTGAATGGTGGCCAAGCGCATCCTAAATAACTTGTACTTTTTTTTCTCTCCAATAACAGACTCTGTTACGAGATGTTTTTCGACGAGAGACTACGCGGACCTCAACCTATGGATTCCTCAGCTCGTCAAGATTTCATCACCACAGAAGACCTTTACAGTGCGGCTATTCCGAACGACGACTTCTTGAAGAAATTCGCGCTTCCAACGCCGCCCTACTCTCCAGAGAACTACTTACCCCAAACTAGGCACAACTTTGCTATTCCACCGAGAAGGAATGGCCTTCAAGTCGTTCCCGAACCGGAAGATCTTTCGTCGGACCTACCTTTGGTTTTGTCCGATGCACAGATGGAACGCCTGACCTGTAGCACAATTGATGACGAGTACATCTGGCCGGCTGGCGAGAACGACTTCGATAGAGTTGAATCACAGAGGTTTCAGGGAAATCGAGTAGTTCTTTCGGCGGCATGCGTCAACGAACCGAGCGCTGAAATGCCCACTGAACATCAAATGATGCGAGATTTGTCTCCATTTGTTGCTTCGATTCCAAGTCAAGATCCAGCACTTGGTCTACAACAAGTTGATAGGTGGCACTCGCAGTTCTCAGGTAAATATTGCGCTTATTTTGCGTGGCTACCAAAAATTAACTTTGCGATGTGTGAGTTAAAGTATGTCTTGTAGCCCTTCGCGATTGAGAAGTGCAATTTCACTTTCGAATTGTATAACAAGTGGCACCTCACGAAAGACGTTTCATTGACTTTACAGCGCTTTAAACTTAGTTTCGTTTAGTTTTACAATCGGGAATAATGAGATCATTTAGTTTGCTTTTGTGCTTGTGAATGAAGAAAATGGGCTTCGCGCGACACTTGTTCTCTGTTCTTTAAGCCATTTTCCTTCCCCAAAGTCTAGTAACTAGAAACAGAGTTGGCTGTGCATGTAAACAATCTGAGCAAGTGACGAATGTTGATCACAAGACCTCGCTATTAATTGGGTGTTTAAAATGCACGCTTTGTGGTTTTAAAGACGAAAGTTGTATGATTCCTTGGTTTTGTTTATAAGTTGTTTTTAGCTTTTTAGTTCACACTTTGGCGCGTTTTTCAGTAAACTTTGATTCAATCGTCAAAATTACTTTCGCGATTTCTGGGACACTTTCAACTGATTTGACGTTCGAAAAATAACTTTACAAAGGCTTGAATAAAAATTAGTGCCTTTGAACATCTGATATTTTCTTTTTGTCAAATAGAATACACAATTTGCCTTATGACAAGCCGGCTTATGACTGGCCCGGTGCTAATTAAATCTTTTTTATTTCGAGAACAGAAACGTTCCAAACAATGGTTTCAAACAGTTGAAAAGACTCGTTTTTGATTTACGATGAAATAAAAGTTTGCAATTCCACTTTTAATTAGTCGAAGTGTATCAAAACTCTTATTTGCAAACCCTAGGAGTAAATTAACGTTTATAACCTAGCTTGGAGAGGTTGACATAGAACGCAGTTGACATTCGATTTAATTTGTAAACTATGCTTTATTGCGCCGTGTAATTTGACTAATTTTGCGTAATTTTCTCTTCGTTGCAGTGGAAAATCCGGCGTTGAGATCAAATCAACCCCCAAGCGAGGAATTTGTTCCTCATCGGTTTGACTGCGCGGTGTCGAAGAAAACGCGCAAGTCGCGAAGATCAAGTCGCCAGGATTCACCGCCAATGGAGGGCGATGATTCTGAAGACAACGAAACAAGCAGGGCAACTCATAACGTCCTCGAACGGCAGAGAAGGGAAGATTTAAAATGCCGTTTTCAATTTCTTAGAGACAGTATACCAGAGCTCGAAGATAATGATCGAGCATCTAAAGTTTTAATCTTGAAAAAAGCGCGGGAGTACGTGCGTCAGTTATTCTTAGAAGAAGAACGTTTACGTGCTGATAAAGAGTTGGAGCGCCAGAGGAGACTTATACTCCTTGAGCGCCTCAGTTGTTTACGGCAAGGTTATGGTGTAATGTAGAGGATTTCAAAAGTTAACTGCTGTTAACTGTAAACTTTAGGCCATAGTTTTTTTTTAATGAAGAATTATTCTACAAGTCAAAAATCGCAACTTGTTCCGTCGTTCACGTACAAAATATTTTTTTTTTATGCTACAGTCTAATGTTGCTACTTTGCCGTGCAACGGATATCAAGAGTTAATACTCAGATTAATTCGCGTTTTATAACTACAGAATGAACTTGATTGATATAAATATATGATACAGCCATTCACAACCGACGTGTTAAATTATTAAGCACGGGTAGAAGTCTGTAGTGAAAATATCTCTAGTCTTTGATAGTCTTGCAGAGGCAAATCCAAACTCAAACATCTCTTTTAATCGATAGAGGGTTTCAAACTCCACCTATAAGTCACTTTTAATATTATATTGTGTAACTGATTCTCCCTTTTTGGTGGTCAACGTTTTACTCAAAGTAATTTTTCACATCCAATATTCCGGTAAAATTATAGACTCTGACTTTACAACGAAGTGATCTTAGGAACTGGACTTGATATATTAGAATACTTTTGTTTTCAAGTAAAACCTGCGACAAATGTAGACTGAAAAAAATTCACACAAGACAAAAACAGTCGTTCGTTTTTCAAGCAACACGTCCCGACATGGAAAATTTAGAAAAGGTGGGGATCATATTCTGAAGTTTCTCCGTCAATATCTGCCTTATGCAAAGTAAAAGCTACTATGAGAAAGCTTTCGTTTCTTTTCTTGTAATCACATATCATGTAAATTCAGTTTTGAGAAGTTCTAAAAGAAGTTCTCCATATTTGTACAAATTTATTGCGACAAACTATTGCTGTGAACAGCGAAAAATGTATGGAGTTGTATCTTTTGTCTAAAGTCAGTCAGTGGTGGATCGTTTCGTGTCTCAAGGAGGTACCAGGTTATCATCCTTAACTAGCATGTAATCTGTACATGAAACAATTTTTGTAATGAAACCCTTTATGCCTTGAACAATAAATAGGCTTGGAAATGTGTAAACTTCTGTTGGGAATTCTATAAATCAGAATCGAGTGTTGAGGCGAAATTGACTTTGAACTTGCTAGAGCGAAGGTGAAAGTTGCTGTCTAGGCGATATCAAAAGCGTAAGTTTTGGAAATCAGTGTGACGCAATTTATTTTGATCAGGCACAAGCTCAGAAAAGCTTAGCACGATTAGTAAGCTTTTGAGTTTATTTTAATTCTCTGAGACATGGATTTTAACGAAAGTTGGAAAGAAGTGGCTTCGACATTACTCTCCTAGTTATCTATTTCCCAAGCTGGACCAGTCTGGTATAACAGAGACCGAGCATTGCTAATATCTTTGTACGCGCCCTTAATTTAATGAGAGGAAATTGCGCTGTTTAATATCCTTATTTTGGTTTCATATGCGAAAACAATTTCACTTCTAGGTCGAGTATATAAACAAATCAAAATATTTTGTTGATTTATGGTCCAAATACGAAATTCCCTAGAATCGAAACCAGCGGCTACCGTGTCTATTTAGTACTAGTTAATCACTGGGTAGAAGTTTAGTGTCTTAGCAGCCTTTTGCAAAGCTTCAAATATTCATTTGATATGATTTGGCAGACCAATCGAACACCTGTTGTTTCCCAGAAGTCTAGAGCCTGATATTCCAAATGTAGAAGGCGCCTTTTTGAATTCGTTGTTTCGAAATTCCCAAACGTTCACACCCCAGACTAATCTCCGAAGAACTTTGACCTTAGGAGTAGTTTTCTGCCAAAAAACGGAAAGTTTAAAATTCGGATTTCGGTTCTAAAAGGAAATGGAGTTGCCAAGTACAACCGCACAAGATGTTCAGAAGATGTTAAGCGACAACTGAATCAATGAGCGAAGTTTAAGTGTGTTACACTCTATTCCTGGGGTTTTCATTTTCCTTTCTAACCAGAATAACAAGATGAAAGCGAAAAAATAATTCAAACTTTGTATAACGAAAGCTTTAACACATGTATCACAAGTCTTCTATACAAAATGATAATTTCATTACGATGATATCGTGGAACTTCAAGTCTGTTGGCTCGAGTCTTTGGCAAGAAACCACGCCCAAAAGTCAGGCCGTCTGTGTTTTTGCTCGATTGTAGTTAATCCAGTAAACTAACGCGGAATTGGCGTCGCTACTTTAATTCAAATGTCATAATAAACTTCCCGCAAGCCTTCATTCTTTGACTTCTGTGAAGCACAATCAAAACAAACTCAAAACTTAGCCGAAGCAAGCGAATAGAATAAATGCTGGATAGTTAAGTGCGCGCGCTTAAATCACGCGCACTGCGCTGCAAGTTTTGGAGAAAATTCTTTCACTCTGCGAATAAGGAGATTTTTATTTTATTTCAAGATTCTGTTATTGAGGGTTGTTTTCGTTGTGATATCTTACGCACCCTGCAAACACTTTGTTGCTATTAGTTTCGACCCAAACAATTTTTCTTCATTATTCTTCATTATTTTTTGTTTCGAAGCGCCAGGCGGGTAAAACCAATGAAAAGCTTTTGTCACGGCGCGGCTGAGTGCGTTTTATCTCTTGTTTTAAGCCAGATGTGCTCAACTCCAAATCTTCAAATCAACCATTAACAGCTTTCCGACGTAAAATCTAGAAAAATTTCACCGGCGTTCCACCTTGAGAGAATGAAAAGTTGCGTTTATCTGTAGACTTTGATTTACTTCTGTTACGTTATTCTCCTGTTGACAATCCTCTTTATTCGCACACGTGTTCTCAGTCTTAATTATGACTAGAACGGGTATAATTATGCGGTGAGACGGCGGGGTGTTTTGGATGAAATGGATCGACATTTTCGTTGACTGATTTTCCAATTTAATTTGGCAACGATATTGTGAAGAAATGTTCGCGCGGAGAGCTTTAAAAGAGCGCGTTACCATGAGAAAGCAATTTAGTAAATGCGCTCTAATGTATAATTGACAAGAAGATCGACTCTATCAACAAGCTTATTAAGATTGCTAACGAAACTAAATTTTACCGGAAAATTAGTGGTTGCGTGTTCAGGTAGCATTTGTTTATAGTGCTGTCGTGTTTTCGTGATTTAGCCCTCTTGCTTCCCGCTTAGATTGTCACAACGAATAGCGTGAGTTGCAATTAATCACATCAGCAAATGCAAGCTAAAACTTGAGGCTTTTAGCGAGGTGATTAATGTCTGGCCACTGGCAACGGTTACATCTTGTTTGGCACGCAATATGTTATACGCTTTTGTTAAACAAATCTTATGTTTCCTCTTTTGTGTTTCAGCTCTAATTGCCTGTCGGCCTGAAATGCTTTTAGTGGCTGACATTTCTTTTGCTTTACCAAGCAATCAAAAACCACAGCGAAAGCAAAAGGATCCATTTCTTGAAGCAAAGTTGTTGTCGTTAAATTTTGTTTAACGGTCAGAGAGTTTCGCCCTTTTTTAATTCATTATTTTTTATCATATCCAGCTTCTTTTTCAATTTCATTACATTTGCGTCGACCAGCGAGACTCAAATGTCCTCAGTCGTTTTTTTGAGGCAAGGCTTATTAACGCAAAATCGAAATCGCATGATGGATAACTCTGGAAACTTGAGTGCGCCCTTTTATTTTCAAACTGATAACGCCACCAGTGTGAGAATCTTTGATTGACTTAAAACGGCGGGAAATTTAATTCGCTTTGTTATGCTATCGCTGTACGTCTTTTCTCAATTTGTATAAAGTTCAGTTTGATTTACTGGTGTCTCATTTGTCATTTTGGACAATTTGATTTTATTTTAATTGTTTCAGAAAAGAGATTTGTTTTTCAAGTGCTGCTGGAGACTCCGTGCGGGTTTTCGGAGCAGTAAGACACAGCGTAGGCGCGTAAGTGTAAAGCGCTTCAGTTTTTACCAGACGTCTTTTTTGCGTCCTTTCGTGTAATGTTCAATTTTTCCAGCGTCTAGCTCTCGGTAATCCTTCAGGTAACGATGAAACAGAGGGCATGACCCGAAAAACAATAAGAAAACTAAGCCAAGTACAAAGGATTCATCTCAACGTTTTATAAAATCACGTTTGTTTACGTGTGGAGGGGTCGCCGGACCAACGCCGATCGATATGCAACTACTTCGAACAACTCACAAACGATAAAAAAAGGCGTGACAGTTTAAAAATGGTGAAGTGAGCATTTCCTTGTTGTTTTTTGAGGTCGGTACACCAGTAATTTACCGAGTAGCCTCTGGAAACGGACTCTCGCGCCTTTTCAGTATACTTGAGGGAAAATTTAATATTCACATTAAAAAAAGAATTGAAAATAAAACTGATAGGACTGTACGCTAATTTTCATGGTGCGTGAATTCGATCTATGCCAATATTGCACAAGTGACAATTGAAAACCAAAAAAAAGACTTAAAAATTCCGTTCACGTATCCACTTTTTTCTGAGTTTTTTTTTTCCTGCATTAAAAATATCAACACTAAAGCACATAATACTGTTTCATTTTCATGGACAGTCACGTACCAGGTTTCCGATAAAACCACCTTGATTGATCTAAAATTAATTTACTGCCACTTACTGAATAGCTAAAGACTACTGAGAATTACACAGTTTAGATTAGTTCGGTTCAAAAGATGCGACTTGATGACAGGAAGTTGTGCTCTGAAACACCACAACCTTACAGTGACCTTTTTAAGTGCAGCTAGCGCTTTACACCATGCCACAACCGATCACCGTTTAAAACAGATCATTTCAAATTCATAATTTGCAATCTGTTCAAATCTTCGGACACCTTACTCTTCCTTGTCACTTCTTGGAACACTCTGTTGTGTTCTTCTATCGTAGCCTAACCTGAACTCTAGTGGTCCGCTCCGTCAAGATGTCGATAATTTTGCAAGTCGGCTGCAAATGGTTCTTTGAAACTTCTGTTTACACTATCAATTCACTCTCCGAAAAAAATAATGAACTGAGACCAAAACACGAAATTCTCTATACCTATGAATTTAGAAGAAAGAGTAGGGAAGCTAGAACTTGAGAGAGGATTACAAATCAAATTGTGGGGGGTTAGGAGGGGTCATGCGACGAATGAAAAGCCTGAGGAATAAGATAACTCAGTTTTGCACTATGAGACACCCCCTGCGATTGGTGAAAACGCAGTATCCAAAAATATTTGTTTTACAAATTAAACAATCGTTTCATTGTACCTTCAAACCTGTTCCTCGCACCACTCGTAACCAAGATAAGGACACGCGGTTTTAATGGCACAAATTTGAAATCTTACAAACACTTAAGGCTCATGCCGAAAATTTTAATCCCCTCTGCAAAATTTAGTGATCCTAACGACCTCAATCAGGTAAATCATAAGAGATTCTTGATAAAGTTGGACTGAATAAAAAAAAGAAACAGACAAACAAACAATCGTTCGATCTTTTTTCAACTTTCGTATGGTTACTTTTATTCAGCTGTACCATATTTGTACAGATCCGAAAGTTCTATCTGATCTGGCATGAATGAGAGAGAGAGAGAGAGAGCTAAGATTTCAAAGACGGAAAATTGTTTGTCGATGAGACTGATATGCGATACGCACTCATGAAAATGAAAGTAGTCAGTCTAAACACAGGTGTCGTTAATTTGCGTTGAGAGATAAGTGCCAAACGACAAGAAAAGAAACAATTGTTGTGAGTTTGATTCTGTGCCAAATATTGTTCGCGTGGGATGTGTTGCAAAGGGCCCGGCTTTCACTGGCTAATAAGTGGTCTGACGTAAAGCGAAACGATCACAATAACCCTGTGTATAAACTATACAGAAGTCTTGACGCTCAAAGAGACTCAGACACGGGAAGAACTTAAAGGGAAGTTCTAAATGAGGTGTTAGGTTTATTGTGGATAGAAAGTAAAAGACAAATGAACTTCCTGACTATTCCGAAAATAGCCTGACAGGTTTAATTGTGACTAACGTCATGGACTCCCTGACGGCTTTTTCGGTAGCCCGGAGTAGGGCAAATTAGACCGCACTAGCTAAATTGCTTTTTGCTTATAAACGAGGGAAGTGTTAAGGAG